TTGGGGGCAGGGGATTGATGAGTGGTATTGAAGCTAGTCCTTCAGAAAGTGACTGTGTGACAGAACAGAGTACTTCCCCGAGTACCTGGGGCAACTGGGAAGAAAAAAATCTTCAGAAAGGAGGGAACTTAGGTCCAAATTGACCAGGCATGGCCAAGCTCTGAGGTTGGTGAAATGGAGAGAGCAGGATGACTGCCTGCCTTAGAAGTCATCTGCTCCTGGCCATCTTTGTGACCTTGAAGTCATGGTTTCAGCCCTTCCAAGCTCCAGGTTTAATGGGTATCAGAGAGGAAAGCCTGGGCACTTGCTGAGCCAGAGTGACAGGGGAGGTCTTTGGGGAGTAAGTCTCATATCCTCCTATGACACTTGTATGGGATGTGAGTAGAGGCAGTGGACTTCCATCCTGTAGACAATAGCTCACAGTAAGGACAGGACAGCATCCTACAAGTAGCATGCCATCCATTGTCTGCAGCCATAAAGTGGGAAGTGAGGAGGGTCCCTTGGGACCTTTGTCTTTTCTGCCATTTGCCAGCAGGAGGATGCCTCTGTTCCTCCCTGGAATGTTGGGGTGGGTGGGATCTCAGGCTTCTCCACTGTTCTATGAGAAGTGTGTGCAGCAGACCATTCTGTAGAAAAGACAGGATTGCACAGACACACACAATTAACATCCAAACTACAACAAAGGAGAAACACTGATGGAAGGAGAAGACGGGCAGACATGGGGATAGGGAGCACGGGCAGTGAGTGAATGAGGCAAACAGGGCTAGAAGTCCTAGATTTCCTACAAAGACCTCCCTGCCAATCCTAAAGACAAGAATGGGAGACACTGGAGGCATGGAGGTCAGTGTAGGAAGCCAGGGTAGGTTGGCAAGAGAAGGCTGGGCTTCCTATAAATGAGGATGGTGGCCAAGAGAAGGAGGTAAGCCTGAGTTCTACTGGAAGCAATGTGCTATCCTGGGGTCCAATTTGGCAAGGTGGTGGTGAAGATGGTGGGGGGGTTGTCTAAAAGAGGCCCAGGTCTGAATTTGGATTTGTGGAGAATGGTGCTTTTTTTCTCTGAAGAGAACAGAGCAGTGAGCTTTGGTCTCTTGGGATCCACATCCAGGGGAGGGCTCACTCAGGCACAAGGGAAATATCTGCTAATATCCCTGTGATCAAGTAGGCAGTGACAGGCAGAAATGCAAAGAGATATGGACAAAGGAAACCAGGAGAGAAAGAGGCAGCAGCAGAGACACCTAGAATAAGAGACCCAAAGGAACTCCAAATGCTGGTGGAACAGAGGACTCAGCCCCAGTCCTGGCCTGGGAGGAATGATCCAGGCTCCCTGCTCCCCAGGCCAAGCCCCAACACTGCCCCCATACCCTAACACTCCCTGGTTTCTTCCCACCTGGTTCTAAATAACACAGGTGGCCATAGACTTCCAGGCCATCTGCCCAATAATAGACAAATACAGGACTGTGTGGAAGCTACCAAAGAGCAGGGAGTCCAAGGAACACACACATCCCAGAGCTGCTAAACGTAAGGCCAGGCAACCTCCCACCAGTTAGTTAGATTTTTATCATTGTGACCAAATGTCACAGAGAAGCAAAGTAAAGGTATAAGGGTCTATCAGGGCTCAGGTATGTCTGTGATGTGCCAAGGTAGAACACCATGGCAGAAAGATGTGAAGTTGCAAACTTATTCACCAAAAGATGGCCAGGAAGCAGAGAGAGGCAGGTTGAGCAGCTAGGGACAAAATATAACCTCCAAGAACATGACTTCAGAAATTTCTCCTGCCTCCTAGTAACATCAAATTATGAATCTATCACTTCTCAGTGATTGGACCCTCCAGCTAGACACCATTGACCAAGGGAGTGGTACTTCATATCTGAACCATAACAAAGGAGAAATGCTATTAGCATGATGGTAAGCCAGGTAGTCATCGAATGAGCTCCACATAATATACCTTCACACATGGCCCAGGGGTTCCAGCTGTGAAGGCTAACACAAACACAAGCTATAATTGAAAGTGCTAAGACCCTTCCTGTGCATCTGTTCCACAGCCTCTGATACCCTCAGCTGACAAGGACAGCAGAGAGTTCAGCCATATTTCCATATATAATGAGGCTCAGAGATGCTAAGTCATATTCCTAGAGAGTCACAGCATCTAAATAGAAACACCAAGCCTCAAGTTATAGGCCTTCTCCCTTTATACACCAGACATCTCAGCATCAGTACCAGCTGCTGGGGAATCTGACTCCTCACCCAGAGCAATATCTTCTTTTCAAAGAGTGTTCAAACACCCACTGGGAAAAGTCAACGGGGTAAAATGTACAGATGTGCACTGTCAGTGGAAAAACACATTCTAAACATAAGCCCCAGATACAGCCTTTTCAAATTCAGGTCACAAAATTTATCTTGCCTATTTTGGATTTGAAATAAACAAACACATTACCATCAATTACCACCATCACTTCATAAAAGAAAAATGATGTTAATGTCTGGAATTGTAGGCAGGACATAATTGTAGACTTATGTGAAAAGCTTTGCTCTCAGCTAAAGACTTTTGCCATCATAGAAAAGCATGTGATGATGTAAGCTTCCTCCCTGCTGAACATACTGGGTTTAGACTTAGGTAGCACCAGCCCAGACAGCCTCCAAGACAAAGATTTGATGGCTCTAAAATTCTTTTGCACATCAACTGATATTCTTTCCTTCATAAAAATATCCTCAAGGAGCAGAATACAGTGACAGCTTTCAGTAATATAATTTTGACCAAATTCTATAATCATGAAATAAAAAAGACTTCAATACGGCTGAAATGCAATTTTCTCCCCAGGGAGTCACAGGAGATATGAAGCATCCTGTCAATCCAATTGTGTATGTGGGAATATGTGGAAGGGAGCAACTGGCCTCCTGGTGACAAAGCCTATTGTAGGTGGCTAGCTTTCACCTCCAAGTTACTGCTAAGGCCCAGCAGCAGCAAGCCATAATGGTACATGACTGTGCTCCCAGCACTTGGGAGGCTGAGGCAGGAGGATTGCCAGAAGTTTGAGGCCAGCTTAGGCTATATAGTGAGACTCTATCTCTAAAATATAAAATAAATGAACAAGAAGGGAGTCCTGAACAGATGATCTGGGCTCTTCTTGTTTTGCATATTTATATTGGTTTTTTGCTGTTGTTGTTGTTGTTTTATTTTGTTTTGTTTTGTTTTTTAATTGATGGTTCAGCATGTTGGGGACTTCCTGGTCAGTGAGACATGGGCAATCCTGCACAGGCTAATTCAGACAGAAACCAAACTTGCCTATGAATAGGCCTTTCATAGCCAGCCAACCACACCCCAATCCACACCCAGCCTATTGTAGCTAACACTCAACCCCCACACCTGGCTTCCTATGCCCTGAGACAATCAGCACTAGGTGCCAAGTAACTAGGGACCAGCAGAGTGAAAACCCTCAGTCAAACCATGAGTCCCATCCAAGCTGTTCCCCTGCCCTCCTCCTCAGAGAACATCCACCCACCTACCCAACACACACACATACACACACAAAAGCCGCAGCCAGGGCCAGGGCCTCCTTCACTTCCTGCCTCCTATTGTAGGCTCTTGCAAATTCCATAACAATTTCTTTTCATCAATGGCTTTAGTCTCTGTGTCACCACTGACACCTCCATGATATAAGATCCAGCAGACACAAATTTAACTGCCCCTCTTTCCTGGCACCCTGTCCTTTCTCTTCGTCATTGTGCTGGAGGTCAGAACCTAAGGCCTGCTCCTGACAGAGGGACTCATGACCACCAGCCCTTTGTCTGTGGCTTTGCATTGTGACATCAGTGACCAGAGAAGCTGTGCTAGAGGCCAGTGTTGCTGCTTGGGCTGGACTCATGGTTATGGATGCTGATGTTGACACACCCTCCATAGAAGATCAGCTGAGGATGGGAGAGCTTGAAGAAAGGCCTCAAGCTGGGTGGGGCCTGGGAAGCTAGGAAGCAAAATGAATTGATCCATCCCCCAAAGCTACAGCTACAAGCCAAATAGCAGGCAGGAAAATGAGGGTAGTTTTGAGCTGCCCCTTGTGGAAGTCAGTATTGCCCATAGTGAAGACAAGATTTGCCACGGGTGTTGCCCACCAAGTATGCACGGCACATGTGACTAGTGTGTGGGCATGCCCATAACTGTTTTCCTAAGGAAAACTGGCAGAAGGAAAGATGGGCTGCACTCTCTCTCTCTCTCTCTCTCTCTCTCTCTCTCTCTCTCTCTCCCCTACTCCCCCCACACACATGCTCACACATGCACACACACAAATGACAAGGGCAGGTAACCCAGAACTCAATCCCAGGACTCCTGACTGAAGAGTTAGCCATTCTATGAAGGGGTTTTAAGGAGCAGTAGGAGCAGTATGTCCAGGGCCAGCGAGATGACTCAGTGATAGAAGTTACTTGCTGTGTGCAAGCCTGAACCTGAGTTTAATCCCCAGAACCCATGATGGAGAGAACTGACTCCAGAAAGATGTCCTCTGACTTCACACATGTCCACACTCACACACACACGATGATAGTATCTGGAAAGTAAAACGTGTTTTAAAGGGACCACACTCTGAAGCCTTGAATGACCTCATTCATTCTGATCTTGGTCATCACAGGACCAGCTATGACTGCTGGAAGTTAGCATCCAAATGTTGATGGCCACAAAAGCTCAAGAAGGCTGCCTCCCCATCACTCCCGGTCTCCATCCCAGTGAAGAAGACAGTCACCAAACTTTCAGTGATCTCCTGTCAGGGCCATCAGCCTCATGCCCTGACTCTAGACACCAGAACAGACCCAGCATGAATGGCTTATAAACCACAGGGTCTCAGGAGAGCCACTTATACCCAGGCTGAGTGGCCCTAGGCTCTACTCCTGCCCAGGAGCTAGATGGGAGAGCTCCTTCCACCCTTGGAACTTTAAGCCTAAGAGCAGACCAGGCCCAAGGGTACCCCTCATCTAATGGAAGGAAAAGTTCTGTGGGGCTGGATTTAACTCACGCTGTTTCTCCTGCAAGATGCTGGATGTGCACGCTGCGGCCCCTTCTCCTGTGGAAACAAGAAGGACATGAGCAGCTTGGTTCCTGCTCTGATGCCCCAAGGCTGCACTCCCTAGAGGAGCTGCTGACAGCTGCCACTATCCCTCCAGAGCCAGAGGTAGCAGAGGCATCACCCAAGTTTCCCACTTCAGAGTTAGCCCTTGGCCTTTGTATGTGACTCAGGCCTGAGCCTCCATATGACATCATTGCTGAGTGCCAGCTGGCTCCTTGGTGATGGATGCCCTTGACCTTAGCCTTCCCAGGGTTGTCTTTTCTGGCTCTTCCCTTCTCCTACTTTATGAAGCAGCTGCTGACAGATGCTGCCCCCTGCTCCCTTCACCCTGTCCTGTGAGGGCCTGAGCTGGACACTGTTCAAGCAACAGTAGTTAAATATCTCCCTAGCCCAGACCTCTGTCCTCCATTTTTGATCTGTGATTTCTACTGCCTCTGGCTCTGGTGGACACTTCCCAGATACCTCACATTCTCCATGACTAGGACCTCCTGAGTAACTCTGAGCTGCAAAAAAAAAAAAAAAAAAAAAAAAAAAGTGCCTGGAAATAATCCTAAGGTTCTCTAAGGAAGGGCTCAGGGCACTTCAGAACATCACCTCTAGGATCTCCTAAACCATGTGAGTCTGTCCTGTTCCCTCCCCACAAGACTCCAGGGCAGTGTCATCCAGGAAATGCCTCTATCTTCCCAGCCAGTTCTCCAGGGACTGCTGTGACGCCAAGACACCATCACAAGAGCCCCTGTTTCCACAGCCCTCTGCCTGCCACAACTGCCTTCATGGCTCATGTCACCTGGATCCAAGTCTCTCTGGTCCCTCCTGTGAGTAGAAGGAGCATACAGATGTGGTTTGAAGGCTAGAATTTGGTTCACAACAACCCACTGTGTGATCTGATGCACCTCCCTCTCCCTCTTTAGGCTTCATTCCTACTGTGGACCCCATGTTCTCTAGAGATCCGTTGGGTACTAAAAGCCTGGTGGTTAGATACCTGCTATCTTTCACTTACTGTGTCTGCTAGAGCCAGTTACATAGCCTCTATGCCAGTCTTCTAGAATGGAGGGTCCCACTGGTACCTCACTCTGAGGGTGCTTGTGCAGTGGTTAATTAGAACTCTTAGAATATAGTCCAGAAGCTAACGCTTGAGGACTACCCTTTGTCGTTGTACAGTCAGGAAGCCAACTCTCGCTTCATGAGAACTGCCCTTTGTTGTTGTTATTGTTGTTGATGATGATGTTATTTATTTGTGAGCCAGGCTCTCACTATATAGCCCTGTCTAGCCTGGAACTCTGCAGCCCAGGCTAGCCTTGACCTCAGAGATCTGCCTGCTGTTATCTTCTTTTGTGCTGAAATCAAATGCATGTGCCACCATGCCCAGTTTATCCTTACTGTTTTATTTACTGATTTGCATGTGACAACTGGCTCATGACTTTGCCTTGTGTCTTCATCACAACACAAGGTGGAGCCAGATGGACCTAGCCAATGGCTAATGTGTGCATGGCTTAGAGTACTCCCCAGGCCTAGTGGCAGGACAGAGCCTATGTCCAAGTAGAGTCCAATTGGAGAAGAGAGGCCTGGACCTTCATGGAATGGCACCCATCCAGCATGGTAAGGTGACCACAAACTGTGTCCCAGGAATGAGAGTAACCCAGATGCAGACAGAAACCAGGAAAGATCCAGCATCAGACCCCAATGACAGGTACCACTCTTAGGTATCATTTGAGGCCACAGAGCATAAGTGCATCTGGGCAGAGTCACTTTCCCTAGCACAGAAATGAGGTCACACATTCAGAGTACACATTCTGTTTCCCACCCATGGTGCCAAGCCCTGTGGGTGATAGAGAGATGAAGAGCAAAGTGTGTACAAGGCAAGAAAACCTCTGCATGAAGCATGGTGATGATTACAGTCATCCATAATGGATGGGATACGGAGACAGGGGGCAAGTGACGTTTCTCCACCTGAAGCCTCAGGAAGCCTGTAGCAGAGCCAAGATTTGAGCTTCCAATGGAAGAGAAAAGGACAGGGTATTGCAAGCGGTCAGCAAATACCATGCTCAAGGCATGCCAAGTCCAGGGGAGGCAGGATGCGGGGGGGTGGGTGACCCTGGGATGGAAGCCCATTCACATGACTATAATAGGTAAGACAGCCAAGCTTTGGTGACACAAGGACTTACAATATCTCCCACACCCCAAGCTCCTGCTGCTTCTATTGCACCCAGAAACAGCTACACAATTAGCTAGGTTCCAGGCAAAAGAAACAACAATGGCTCTGCCCAGAAAACAAGAAGGTGTTGACTTTGTTCTGAACATCCTAGGTCTGTTGAATGCCAGTGTGTATTCCCTTATACTCAGGGTTCCTTGCAAGCATATCGGTGACTCTCAGTGGCCTGGAACCCCCATTCTCTAACTTAGAACACACACTGGGAGCCCACCTTCTCCCAAGTTCTCCATCGCTAGCCTCTGCCAGCTACTATGCATAATGGCCAGCTGGGGAGTGGAGTGATACACCTGCCTCTGGTGTGCCTGCTGTCCTCAGCTAGGACTGACAAGTGTCCTCCCTGTCTAGGAAGAGAACGCTTGCTTCCTGGATAGAGTGGGTAAGTTTGCTCCCTGTGAGTCACATGCAGAATACACTGTGACACTGCCAGCCTAGGGAGACACAGCAGATGGAAGCACCTGTCCCCTACTCTGCCTGTGCCCAGGATTCTGCTGGAGGGAGAGGAGAGATGGGACTGGACAGCCAGATGGAACTGAGGAAGGCCAAGCATCCATTTCAGGAGGCCTCAAGGTGCTACAGCACAGGGCCACATGCAACAAAGCCTCAGCCCGGGGCACATGACCTGCAGACTTCACTCAACAAACCACAAAATTGGAAATAAAATAACTCAGAACTGGGAACAGTAAAGCCCAAACAAGGGGCTCTTTGTAGCATTGGTCACATCCCTGACTATAATAAATAATGTCCTGGCATTTCTCATGCACCTACCTGCTGAGGGAGATTCTGGTTTACCACCTATGGGTCCTCCCCCCAGGACACAGAAGTTCCACACCTAGACCCTTTAAGAGCTGCTCATCCCATTTGGTGCTCTCATAATCACAAAGTAATTGCAGCTTTGAGCTGGATCAGGATTTTCACCAGCAAGATTATGCGATGGAGAGGTGGCCCAAGGACCTGAGAGTCTCACTACTGGGGAAGCTGGGATGTAGAGAGTGGGGGAAGCCAAGAGGCCAATGACTTTGAGATACTTGCACACAGGATATAGATCTGGAGAAGGGAATGTTAGGAAGATCAGAGACAAGCTCAGAGAGAGATCTCACAGCCAGCCAGAAGCAAGGCTACTGCTTTGTGAACTCGGTGGGCTATATACTTAGGAGTACAGATACTTTATGTCCGCCCTGTACTTTCCACACCTGAAATAACTGTGCCTTCCACCTACGCAAAACAGGCAGAGATGGAGATGGAGACAGAGATGGAGACTGGGGCTCCACCACTTGGCCACGATGAGGACTTCTTCCCATTACCCTGCTTCTCACTCTTATGATCTCTAGGCTGTGGCTTCCTGGGGGGAGGGGAGGCTCAGGGGGAGTCTTTGAGGCAGAGAAGCTGAAGGTGGGTAGAAAGAAAGCCGAGAAGAGACTCTTGGGGTGTTAAGACTGGCCAGTGTTTGCTGCAGACTGAGTTCCTCTACAGTGATGATGGAGCCACGTATCCAGTGATACTGATAAGGACACTGAGGTAGGCCAGAGTCTGATTTCCATTGTTGCCATTTTGTTTCTCTTTATCAGTTTTGTTCTTTGATATTTTATAAATATATACAATGCATTCTGATTATTCTTGCCGCCTACCCTATCTTGTCTCCCTCCAATCCCTATCGACCTTTTTTTTTTTTTTTTTGAGAGAGGGTCTCACTATGTTGCCCAGGCTGGCCTGGAATTCAAATCTTCCTGTCTCAGTCTCAGTCTCAGCCACACCACCACCGAGTGTGCTCGGGGGGGGGGGGGGTTACAGAAATGTCACCATGCTGGGCCTACTATCCACACTATAAATGATGTATATGGGCAGGGTGCGGGGGTGGGGAGAAGAGTAGCAACAGCGGCAGGCTGGCTTTGTCTGCTCAGTCCAGACTGGCTTTATCTCCCCTCAGAGCCACCAGTGACAGAGGAATCATCTAAGCTGCAGAACCTGGTTTCCTGATTAGCGGCTCCCAGGACGTGGGCCATTAACTAAATGTGCAGCTGGCTCAGCATTGCCTAAATGAGACCCCACTTAATCTGGAGCTTTTCTAGGGCCCCTGGGCCCAACCACTTTGTCTCAGCTTAAGCTTGCTTCTATCACAGGAGCTGCTGGAATCATCCATAAACCAAATAGTTATGCAGAGAGTAAGGGTTGGGGGCTGGGATTAAAGGTTGGGAGCTGGGGTTAGAGGCTGAGGTTCATAGCTGGGGTTGGAGGTTGGAGGCTCATGACTGGGGTTGGGGGTTGAGGGCTCATGGTTGGGGTTGGAGGTTGAGGGCTCATGGTTGGGGTTGGAGGTTGGGGACTCATGGCTGGGATTGGAGGTTGGGGGCTGGGGTTGGAGGTTGGGGGCTGGGGTTGGAGGTTGGGGGCTGGGGTTGGAGGTTGGGGGCTGGGATTGGAGGTTAGGGACTCAAGGCTGGGTTGGAGGTTGGGGACTCATGGCTGGGTTGGAGGTTGGGGACTCATGGCTGGAGTTGGAGGTTGGGGACTTATAGCTGGGGTTGGAGGTTGGGGGCTGGGGTTGGAGGTTGGGGGCTGGGGTTGGAGGTTGGGGGCTGGGATTGGAGGTTAGGGACTCAAGGCTGGGTTGGAGGTTGGGAACTCATGGCTGGAGTTGGAGGTTGGGGGCTGGAGTTGGAGGTTGGGGACTCATATCTGGGATTGGAGGTTAGGGACTCAAGGCTGGGTTGGAGGTTGGGGACTCATGGCTGGAGTTGGAGGTTGGGGGCTGGGGATGGAGGTTAGGGACTCATGGCTGGGTTGGAGG